ATATAATTTCTTTTAAAAAAGAATTTTCTTTCTATTGAATAAATTAAAAAAAAGTGTAAATACTGCATAATGTAGTACTTTATATTTTGCAGGAAAAATTTCAAATTTTAAATTTTTACAAAAAGCAGTGAGATCCCACAAAAAAACCTCACAAAGGTAAAAAAAATACGCCAAGTATATAAAAGAATCCCAACTTGCCCGCAAAAAAAGTTTAATATTTATCCCTAAAAAATAACTGTTAAAAAAATTTTTCCTTGAAATATAATTTTCATAAAAAATAAAAAACTATAAAATGATTTTCCTCTAAGAAATAACTCTAAAAAATCAAAACCTTTAAAAAATCAGAACTAGATATGAAATCAAGTTAACTAGCCAAGTACATAGAAGCAGTTCACTTTGTGAGAGTTTGTAATTTGAAATAGTATTTGTTTGATAAAATCAGTCTTGCATTTATAGAAATATTATAGATTCTCTCGAGAAAATTAAAATGCATTTTATTTTTATTAAAAAATTACACTATTATGTTTACTTATGTTCCCCTCCCAAATAAATATTTTGTATAATATATAAAATAGCACTATTATATTTATTACAAATAGTAAATCATATAACTACTTAACCCTTACTGCAATAATGTCGATTACATCGAGCACTAATTTCAAATTTAAAAATGCCCCTTGCCAAACTGATCGATTTGTTTTGAAATTAATCATAAGCTTTACCAAATAGGCCCGGAACAAAAAGGATTAGGATTAAAGTGACATACAGAAACTTGGCGTGACTGGGTCGCATTATAAGTCATATATTTTTATTAATATATTGATAATGATTTCTGATAATTAATATATTGATAATGATTTCTGATAATTAATATATTGATAATGATTTCTGATAATTAATATATTGATAATGATTTCTGATAATTAATATATTGATAATGATTTCTGATAATTAATATATTGATAATGATTTCTGATAATTAATATATTGATAATGATTTCTGATAATTAATATATTGATAATGATTTCTGATAATTAACATATTGATAATGATTTCTGACAATCTTTTGCAAATTTTTATTTCAGATCGGGCACGCCAAGTATTTGTATGTCATTTTAATTTTAATCCTTTTCATTCCGGGCCTATCTGATAAAGCTTATGATTAATTTGAAAACGAGTCGATCAGTTTGGCATGGACCACTTTTAAATTCGAAATTGGTGATTAATGTAATCGACGTTATTATAGTAAGGATTAATTTTATGATTTACTATTTGTAATAAAATCCGCAATATAATAGTGTTATTTTATATATTATACAAAATATTTATTTGGGAGGGAAACATAAGTAAACATAACAGTGTAATTTTTTAATAAAAATAAAATGCATTTTAATTTTCTCGAGAGAATCTATAATATTTCTATAAATGCAAGATTGATTTTATGACAAATACTATTTCAAATTGCAAATCCTCACAAACTGAATTATTTTTAAGTACTTGGCTAATTAATTATTGATTTCATATTTAGTTTTTATTTTTTATTTTTTAGGGTTTTTTTATTTTTTAGAGGAAAATTATTTTATAAGCTATTTTTTAATTTTTAGGGTCTTTTATTTTTTAGGGAAAAATTTTTTAAAAGCTATTTTTCCAATTTTTTATTTTTTAGAGGAAAATTTTTTTATAAGCTGTTTTTTAAAGGTAAATAATTTTTTTAAGCTTTTTGTTGCGTACGTAAGTTGGGATATTTTTTAAGTACTTGGCGTATTTTTTTTACCTTTGTAAGGTCTTTTTTTTTTAAAACACGATATAATTTTAATAAGATATAATTTTATTTTTATAGATATAATTTTAATACAGAAGATAAACTGTATAGGTATTTTATAGATATAATTTTAATATAGATGTTAAACTGTATACAAACTGTATAATCAATAATAATATAAATTGTGTAAGTGAATAAATATCAAAATATAGAAAGCAATAAAGGATTTTTTTTTATTACGAAGCTTCATTTAACATGAATATAAAACAAGTCCATTTTATTGAATAAACGCATACATATAAAAGGTATATAATTCTCAATGCCTCCATAATCATTTTCCAACAATCTATTTATCACAAATATGTTAATTGATAATGCACAGATTCAAGCAGATTTCGTGTAAAGCATTTGTTCAATTTTGCTTATATAACCTAACTTTGCTTAATACAATTAAAAGATATTTCTCTTCCTCCTTCCACTTCTCTTCCTTGCACTTCTATTCCGCGTAAATAATTTCTTTTCACTTTATCATTTTTCTTCCTTGTGTTGCACTATTCCGCGATATTCTCATAACTGTTAATCACTTTTCACTCTTCTTGCCGCGCGTACTCTTATAAAATAGAAACATTATTATTATCTCACACGTATGTACACGCATCCACATATGATCTTGTCTCTTAAAACATTCTGCACATTCAAGCGAATAATCGTACATGAGCGATGTGAACACCGCTTGAAGGACAAGATCGCTTTGCGTGTGTGCGTGCGAGTATAGGTACGTGAGTTGTCTGAAATCTGAAACTGAAAGGAATATCACAATTCTAGTATACGATTATCATTCCTCAGGATTAACTGCACCAATCTTATTCAAACTGGTCGCAATCGAAAGCTTGCATCCACATTGTACGTGAAAAGTGTCGTTAGATTTTTGATTACGGCTTTAGTTCCTGAGGAATGTTAATCGAAAGTTTATGAGACGTAGAACTCCGGATAAGCTACTTGGTAGCACCGCGGTCCCTGTACATAGGCAAAACTGTTGACAAGCTGGAAAGAATTTTTTTATATATCGCTTGATGTAACACTGAAATAAAATTCTGGTATCTCTTTTCAGAATTACTTGACTTTTTTTGGAAGATGGAAAATAACAAGCGCTTCAATCCATATGTCAGCGTAGATGCTGAAGAAGAAATAGTTATCTCTGGCATTGCCGGACTTATATAAAAATTGTATTGCACACATAATTGTTAATAGATTGCTGGATTACCCATTTTTGGAGGCAATAAGAGCATGATAGCAAACAGAATTTCTTATTGGCTCGGCGTTACTGGACCATCGTATAACATCGATACTGCATGTAGCTCGAGTCATTTCGCTATGGTGGAAGCTTACAGGATGATTCGATCTGGCATTTGCGATGCGGCTATTGTCGCTAGTGTCAATTTGTGTCTCCATCCTAATGTAACTTACCAGTTTTTTCGTTTGGGTATGTGAAAAATAATATTATTGTGTTCAGAGTTGTGTGTTGCGTTGTTAAATGAAATAAATATTTATTGATACATTTATAAAAATAATGTATATAATGTATATATTATATGTATATAATAATAATAGTGTTTGTTAATTCATGTTTTGTTGAATGTAGCAGTTTTTATTTTTGAATGACACAATTAATTCGCTTATATATATCCACATTGAATTTTTTAACTTGGTATAATATTAGAGAAACTGGAAACAAAATTAAATCTTCTATATTGATTGAAACAATAAACTATGAACATGAACAAATGATATTGTTTTAGGAGTTTTATCTAATGATGGCTACTGTAAACCTTTCGATGAAGAAGGCTCTGGTTACATGCGTAGTGATGCAGCTGTAGTAGTATACCTACAAAAGGCAAAGGATGCAAGAAGAATCTATGCGACCTTTGTCTATGGTAAAACCAACTGCGATGGCTTTAAAAAAGAAGGAATTACCTTTCCATCATTTGACAAGCAAAAAATATTATTGGAAGAATTTTACGAAGAATGTGATATTTCGCCTCTTGAATTATCTTACGTGGAGGGTCATGTAACTGGTACTCCAGCCGGTGATCCTGTGGAACTTCAAGCCATCGATGAAGCTATATGCGCTAAAAGACAGCTTCCTCTATTAATGGGTTCAGTGAAGTCAAATATTGGACATTCAGAGCCGGTTAGCGGTCATTGTCAAATTGCAAAGGTGAATTTACAATAAAATAGGATTAATAATAACAGTAATAGGTTTAGAGTACACACAATAAAGTGGGAATACTGACATACATTCTGTAAAAAAAGTACCCGGAATTTCTCATTTAAAAGTCCCGCGGTACATGTATTGAAAAAAAATTTTGTTGGTGAAATTAGCATCACTGCACCCAATTGTCATGCTGAGTTTGAGCGCGATCTGTCATCCAGTTTGTTTACAGCAGCTGTTTATGTCAGTCGACCTCAAGCGTGTTCTGCGATTTTCGCCCGCCTTCGGTGGGCTCGTTTGATCTTGCAATTATATTGCACGTCTCGTTCTCGATGATAGTATTGTAGTGTTTTAGAGATTGTGATAATTCGTAATAATTTCTTTTATGAAATTATTCATTTATTTATTATTATTATTCTTTTTTTTTAATTTTTACAGAACAATTATTTCATACAGAAATATAAAACAAAGAACTTATTTTTAATGTAAAATTGCACGAGCTAACTGGTCATTAGGTGCTTGAATGGGTCTATTACAAAATTTGAAAAAGTTTGAGATCCAGGGGTCCATCCAGCACTTCGTCTAATAGTGTCAATATCCACTCCTCTTTTATGAGCAGTGGATACTGCCGCATGTCTAGTACTGTATGCTGTAAACTGTTTAACATCAATGCCAGCCTTGCCCAGAAGTGTCTTAATCCAATGACCAATGGTTTGTGCGGATACTGCTCCAAATGGTTTCATAATAGCAATTAATAAATTTTTTGTATTTTGGCTTCGTAAATCTTTTGTAAAATCAATGTAATCTAATACTGTCGATGCCACACATAAGCCTGGTTTGTCTTTGAAAAAAGGTAATATTAATTCGGGTTGAAAACCGCCTGGCTTAGATGTTTTGATCTGTTCCGTAATCTTTATACTTATACCGGAATTGGATATCGAAATATTTTCAATGTTTATCAACGCTAAAGTTTGTAGTCTTTGAGCTGTTGTTAACGCTAAGAGTGTGACTACTTTTTCAGCGGCGTCTTTTAATTTCAATTGTTTAAGAGGATGAAGTTTTTCAATGTAATTTAGAACCGGTGTAATATCCCAAGTTGTGTTGTACTTAGGCTTAGTTGGTTTTTGTTTAAACACACCTTTTAGGAACCGTGAGATCAAACCATCATTGTTTATATCGTATACTGAAATTAAAGAAATAGTCGCTCGAGCAGTATTTAACGTACTATACTTTGCACCTTTTTTATATCTGCTATTAAGAAACTCAATAATGTCCGAAGTATTTGAGTTGAAAATATCCAATCTTTTAGTATGTGCATAATCTCACCAACATTTCAAGTTACACTTGTATTGTTTAAGAGTCGACTTTGTAATGGAATCAATCATCACATCCACAGAATCTTCACTGATTTTTGTCTCTCAAGTCTTTTGCAATGTATAAAGCCGTAAGCTACTGCTGGACAAGCTGCCGTTAAAATTCCTAGAAATTTTGCAAATTTTCTAATTCTATAGCTATTTCCTTTCTTAAATTCATTTGCAAATTCTATTATCTGATTTTTCTTTTTATCAGTTAAATTTAAGGTGAAATCCACTGAATTGATGATGAAACCCAGATATTTACATTTCTGGCTAGCAACTAATAAACTTTTTTCATAATTTATTATGAATCCTAAACCATGCAGAAAATTAATAGTTTCTTTGATGTTTATTTCACATAGCTTTTTTGAACTATGAATAAAAAGAAAATCGTCCAAATATAATACTAGTAACATTCCTTCTAATCTCAGTTTATTAACTATGGGTTTCATTATTTTAGTAAAAATATATGGACTGGTACATAATCCAAACGGAAGGCACAAAAATTGAAAAAGTTTTCCCTTAAATTCAAACCTAAGAAACTTTTTATGTTTTTTATAAATAGGTACTACAAAGTAGGCATCTTTTAAGTCCAAGAAGCACATGAAATCTCCTGGAGATATTAGGCCCAGAGCTGATCTGATATCTTCTAATTTGAAATGTGGAGGTTTAATGAATTTATTTAATTCTTTTAAGTTAAAAATAAACCGGTTAGACCCATCAGGCTTTGGAACGAGGAAGTAGGAAGAAAGAAATTGACCTTCACAATATTCACACTGCTCAATAGCACCCTTCCGTAATGATTTGTCAATTTCTACTTGAATTTGCCTTATTTCTTCCATATAAAGTACTTTCTCTTTCGGTGAAATTTTTTGAAAGGGTTTTTCAATAAAAGAGATTCGATATCCTTCTAAATAGCTTAACACATTTTTATCTGACGTGATTTCTCTCCAACTATCTACGAAAAAGCGTAGACGTCCTGCCGTTTTATCTACCTGGCTTATTTCTTGGATAATGATTGGCTCGTCGTCTGAGAGTTCGTCTTGGATGAACTGTGTCAAATTTTTTGATTTGCTGGTTTCTGTTCTTTTTGAACGTGAACCAGCGCCTCAACGACCTTTGTTAGGTTATCCAACTGTTTCTGCATATCACTGAATTTCTTCTCTCGGATATGCTTATGTCAATGATCATCTTTAGACCGTGATCTTGACCGTTTCCTCTTATGTTCTGGCATTGTAAAATGATAGTACAATGGAAATTTTTATGAATTTTTTGAGGACTAACAAAAAAAATGTATCGATGTTTCGGCACAACAAAACAATATGAAAGCGGAGAGGACTCATCCTAGAGATAACATGGCGGGGACGCCAATTTTTCAAATTTACTAGAAGCTAAACGTTGTGATGTTGAGCATGACAAGCATGACTACAATACTATCATCGAGAACGAAACGTGCAATATAATGACGACCAATGTTGGTACGGTCGGTACGATCACAAAAACAACGGTCATAAAGATGGTCATAAATCAAAGTCAAAAAGCAAAAAAGACGTAAGAGAAAGGCTAATGCGGCAAATTTACTTAATCTTTAAATTCAATTCAAACTTTGAAATCAAATTCAAATTTAAGTTTCTCAATCAATCAATCCTTGAATTTTTGGTAAGTTTTCCATTATAGAGGAAATACGTACAGATCACAAAAACAAGTCATAAAACGAAGTAAAAGCAAAAACGACGGGAAAATGGCAAATGCGACATTAATTAATTGTAATTATAATAGTTTTTTAGTTCCATCTAAATTTTTAGATTTAAATTTAAATTTAAATTTCCAAATCCATCAACTTTTTATATTTTGGCAAAATAGGGTTAATACAACTACATAATCTAATGCCACATGTAAATTTATGCAAGTATATTTTTTTATTTAAATGCTATTTTTGGATAAAGGTTTTAATAGCGATGGAAACTGGTATAATGGCTCCTACTATACATTTTAAACATCCACGAAAGAATTTGACTGCTGTCATTGAAGGAAGAATAAATATAGTCACTGAACCGACAGAATATAAGGGTGGTTATATCGGTATTAATTCCTTTGGATTTGGCGGTGCTAATTGCCACATATTACTGAAATCAAATCCAACAATTAAAGTCAATAATGGAGGAGACGATAATTTACCTAGGCTCGTAGCTATATCTGGATGTACGGAGGAAGCAGTTAAAATTATATTAGAAGACGTAAGTACACATTACAATCTATTTCACAAATAATCTAATCTTTCTTATACTTACCTTGTATGTTATTATTGCCATTTTAAATTATTTACAAAATTAAACTTTTTGTTAACAAAAAACAATAAGAAAATATTTTCACGTGTATTGCACGCACAAAAACACAAATACATAAAACAAATTTATGATAATATATTAAATGCATAAAATATATATATACTATATGCGTGGACACAATGGGTTCCGTCCCCCTACGGGGGGGGCTCCACTTCCGGAAAATATAACCTAACCCAAACCTATTTCTGATTTAAAACTAAAATTTGGTTTGGGTTGTGGGTTAGACCTCGCTTCGCTTTGGTAATTTTTGGGGTTTTTCGGTTTTTTGGGAAGGTGGGGTGATGGGGGACGTGCTCCCCCAACTGATTATCACTGTTGAAGTTACAACAAAGAGTTTTACCGAGAGATTCGATCATATTTGTCAAAATTCAGAAATAGCCTTATTCGAAATAATTACCATAATTACCCTTTTAAGGTCTATACCTTTTTTTTGGACCTCCGCCAACTAAAATTGGTTATTTATATTTCTATCTAAACATAAAAAGTCCGTAAAAAAATTTGCAGCCCAGTTGCAGGTGGAGCCGTGATTCTGAATAATTACCTTATTTTAAATTATTAATTCTAATAATGGGATCTAAATGTAAACGTTGAAGATAAATTCAAGTTTATTTTAAACCGGTAAAAGCGGTGAAAAGAGCGAAGTATTATTAACAGATCTAAGGTATATTATATCTATTGAAACAAACGCATTAATAGTTAATGTAGCCATTATTGAGTTTAAAAATAGAGTATTAATTGTGTGCAAATTTCAAAGATTTATAATTAAAAATAAGATATTTATATATGTATATACATATGTATTACGATTATAATATACACTGCTCAAAAAAATTATGGCATAAAAAATATTTGCCGAAAATTGGCCAACTTTGACTGCCGATCACTTCGCGAAAAATTATCGTAGACGAATGATTTTTTTTTAAACTGAAGCTTGACGTCTCTACTTTAAGAATGTACCTCCATTTTTTGCATACAATGCACCCCTACTCCTGTAATCCCTGAAATCTGAAGGCATATTTGGCATACTGAAAATTGCAAAGTTTGACGGAATGCACGGACGTGAAAAAATTTTTTAGCCAGGCTTTATTCAATAATAATTCTTTTATTAAGCGTTGTAGAAAAAAATGATATAGGACTTTTCTGCTTAGTTTACTGTGCTCTACCCGCTCAAGAGCATTGGCACAATCTTTACCAGACATCCTAAATATATATATATATAAATTTCTTAAAATTAACTTTAAGAATAGTCTAAAAGCTACTTGGTAGCGCCGCGGCCCTTGTACATAGGCAAAACTGTTGACAAGCCGGAAAGAATTTTTTATATACTTGGCGTCGCGACGCTACCGCGTTGCTTGATTAAGATATAAGATAATTATCGTATACTTACGATTAGTAACGATATTCCTACAGGTACAGAGCCGGCCAATAGATGTAGAATATATCTCTTTGCTACATCATATTCATAGTGACAATATAAAAGGGCATTTCTACAGGGGATACATGATTGCTGGATCTAACGTATCCGATAACGCAATAATTAAAATGAAAAGCAACATATGTACGAGAAGACCGATTTGCTTCATATTTTCTGGAATTGGATTTCAATGTCTTAACATGGGTAAATAAATTATAAAAATATCACATTACAATGTGATATTCAACAATTATTAATATACAACATGTTTGTTTGCACTTTTGGAACATGTAACAGTTTTTAATTTAAACATATATTGACATTCTTAAGTATTTGTTTAAACATGAAACAAAGTTAACAAGTATAATATCTCTCTAGTTTGCAAATTTTGTAATCCTATGAGTTACATTTATTAAGTATAATAACTAAATTTTGATTAAACTAAACTAAAATAGTAATAATACTGTACGAAAAATTTGCAAAATATAGATAAGCAATTTTCTAGAGATTTTATTTATATATGTTTAAATCAATTAGGTAAAATTATTATTTAAGACAATGTATTACACAACATTATAAAATAATGTAATTATATACGAGTATTTTTTTTAAATATTGGTAGGTCGAGCTTTAATGAAATTTCCAGCATTCATTAAAGCAGTCCAGAAATGCGACACAATTTTGAGACCCCACGGTATATCGGTGACAGATATTCTAACAAATAAAGACAAAGATATTGTCGATAACGTCGTCAATTTATTTGTAGGCCTTATTGGATTACAGGTATAAACATATAATTATAAATAAAATATATTGTCTATATATGCTGCAGCATTATTTTGTATTGTCTGATTCTCTAATTTTTTACAAAGTGTTTTATATTTAAAGATCAATATTTTATAAAAAACTAAAGTTATTTGTAAAATATATAACTAAAATCAAAAAGAGAATCTCTCAAGGAGAGACATCTCTTAAGAAGAGACATCTCTCAAAGAGAGATTATTACATATACATAATAGTATTCAGAATGCTAAATTTATAATATTTTATAATATTATTTTATTCAACAGAAAAATACATTACAAAGTTGTAATAAAAAATTATATGTGTTGCAGATCGGAATAGTTAATCTTTTAACAAGCATTGGTATCACTCCTGATATTATAATGGGTCATTCCATTGGCGAGTTGATTTGTGGATATGCCGATGGATGTTTGACGGCCGAAGAAACAATCATGTTGGCATATTATGTCGGCTTAGCATTTCTTAAGTCAAAAATAATAGATGGTTTAATGGCTGAAATTAATCTCGATTCCAAAACTATGAAAAATATCTGTCCACCGGATATTGATGTAGCTTGTTACAATAATTCACATAATTCTGTTGTGAGTGGACCAACGACCTCTGTAAGAGCATTCCTCGCTAAGTTACAGGTTTGTAAAAACGCTTAAATAGTATTAAATAATATATCTATATGCTTACAATTATATGTTTAATTTTAAATAAATAATAAAGTTTATTCGTATTCAGAATGACAATATTTTCGTAAAAGAAATTTCTTTCGGACGTATACCTCTTCATAGTCGTTACGTCGAACCTGCAAAAGTTAAACTTTTGGAATACTTGAATCAAATATTGCCACAACAAGTGTCTCCAAGCTCAAAGTGGTTGGGTGTGCCAAATGAGTCTTATGAATGGTTTAACGCATCTCCAAAATCAAGTCTAGCAGAATATTATGCAAACTATTTGCAAGCCCCCGTATTATTTTCAGAAACTCTGCGTTTTATTCCAAATAACGCAGTGACGATTGAGATAGCGCCGCACAACATTCTACAATACATTCTTAATGATTCTTTAAAGACAACAGTGACAAATGTCGCCTTATACAAATTCTCTCACAAACCAAATATTGAAATATTTTTATACAGTATCGGAAAACTTTATAATGCAGGATTGCAGCCGCAAATTGCAAATTTATATCCGGAAGTTAAGTTTCCTGTAACTCGTGGTACACCAATGATTTCTCACCTTATAAGGTAAATTCTATTTAATGTAACACAAGATTCTTCAGTCATATTCGCTATAGAAAAACAGTAAAATTTTAAAAAGCAGAAAATTAAATTGTATTATTTTTAACGACGGTAAAAGAAAACGCGAAATAATATTTTATACATTGTTTAATTAATGATATTTATTGTAGATGGAATCATTCCAAAGATTGGTATATGTATCGTTATATCGGACAAAAAGTAATTGACAAAGGGGAAGCAATTGTTACTATTAATGTGTTGGAAGAAGAATTTAAATATATGACTGGACATGTCATTGATGGAAAAAATTTATTACCGGCTACAGGATATCTTTTACTTATATGGCAGATGATCGGCTGGTTAAAGAAACAAAATTATTGCGATATACCAATTATATTTGAAGATGTCAATTTTCTACGCTCTACAATATTATCAAAACAAAGTCCAGTCGATTTAATTCTTATGGTGCAAAAAGGTGACTTGTACAATTAAATTAATCTTGTAAATTAAATATACAAAAAAATAAAAATTTTTTGCATAAGATACAAATAAGAGATAATATTGTATAAAATATAAATTGAGAAAAGATTTGTATCCAATAGATAAATCATTAGAGCAATCTGTCAATAGTGTTACCACAGATTTGAGCAGGAAATACAGTATTAGCACCATAGACATAGTATATCTAGACCGAGCGTTTGCCTTTATTCACGAAACAGAGTATGTCCTTTTCTACGTGCACCTCGGCTCCCACTTCTCAACACTCGGTCTAGATATACTATGTCTATGATTAGCACTAACTGCGTTTACAAGAAATTGATATCGACATTCTTACAGATAGTGGCAAATTCGAGATAATCGAAGGAAGCAATGCTGTCGTTACTGGAACAGTACGAATTCCAATTAATATTGAAGACGAAAAAATATGTACTACATTTATTGATAGAAATGACAATGGTGAAGAGGAGATGAATACAAAAGATATCTATAAAGAATTGAAGCTTTGTGGTTATCAATATACTGGCAAATTTCGTGGATTAAAAAGCGCGTCAATTAGGGGAAAGAATGGTCATATTGTCTGGACTGACAACTGGGCAACATTTATTGACAACATGTTACAAATGATGATTTTAGGACTGGATTCGAGAAGTCTCTCCGTACCAACAAGAATTCGTAAAGTAGTAATCGACCCAGGATTTCATATAGAACCAATTGAAAAGCTTCCAAATGAAGAAAATCGTATGTTTACAGTAATATAAATGAGCACAATATTTAGCCCAATATCATTTTTCGAAAAATATATGTATAAAATTGCGCTATTGTGTCATATTGCAGAAGTCCTTGTACAACATTATAAGCATTTAGATGCTTTGATATCCGGCGGAATTGAAATAAGCGGCGTCGTGGCTACAGCTATATCTCGCCAACAAAGAGCAATTCATCCCGTTCTTGAAGAATACAAGTTTGTTGCTCATCGGGATCTAGATGTAATGTCTTTAGAGGACATAACAAGAATGTCGGTGCATATTGCGCTCGAGTGTTACAATATGGTAAACGTAAAAATCATCGAATTTGTGGAGGATAGCGATCAAGTGATGCCGGAAAATTTAAATTGTTTATTTGTGAATAAAGTACTAGATGATTTACCGCAAATTCAATCCGATATCAAACTGGTAGCAACACACGAGCGGTTAAAAGATATCGCTTTGCCTGATAATATTTCTACAATAGAATTTGATAAACTGACAAAAAATGAAAATTGTTTGATGATTATAGGTTTCGGAATTTTAACAAAAAATAAAAACAAATTATATGAACAATTATTATCTGTCATGATGCCAAAAGGATTTCTTCTAACATTCGAAGAATTGGATGCTATCTACGACTACTCATGTCTAGATAAATATGGGTTAAAAGTAATTTTGGAGAAACGCACCAACGATAAGACAATTATATTATTAAGGAAAATACGCGATATTAATAAGAGGAATCTACAGATTGTGCATGTAAACAATTATGAATTCTCATGGATAGACAGGCTTAAATTATTCATGGACATAGAAAATGAAACTAAGAGAATTATAGTCGTCGCAGAAGGGGACTTCGAATGCGGACTAATCGGCCTTGTAAATTGTTTGCGAAGAGAACCGGGCGGTAAAATGATTAGAGGTGTATTTATTCAAGATAAAGATGTGCCTACTTTTTCATTGCAAGAGTTGTTGTACATGAGGCAACTACAGCTTGATTTACCCATCAATGTTATACGTTCTGGTAGCATTTGGGGTTCTTACAGGCATTTTCCATTACCATTACGACAACCAAAACTCGTACAGAGTGCTTATGTTTCTCAAATGGTACGTTGAGAAGATTCGGTATTTATAAAAATGTAATAATGCTTTGTAATATTTTTATTTATAATTTAAGTAATGATTTAATGTAAGCTTAATGGGATTAAAATAATCGTTATATTTATTTATTTTAGGTGCAAGGTGATCTCAGCACTTTTTGTTGGGTGCAAAACAGAATATCTTTAATCAACAATGACGAAGAAAATCAGATAAGAATTGTCTATGCGTCTATCAATTTTAAAGATATCATGATAGCTAGCGGTAGACTTATTTCGACTTCTGTCGCGTCTCTCGAACGAAATAATAGCATTTTAATCGGAATGGAATTTGTTGGTTTTAATAAAAATGGACAAAGAATAATGGGACTGTGTTCAAATGGGTAAGATAGTGATACGCACAGATGTCAATTAATATATTTTTCGTAAATAAACTGTTTAAAATATTTTTTTTTTATATTTAAATTAAAGAAACTTTTGATGAAGTAAAAAAATTGAAAGAATTGTTATATTTTGCAAGTTTCTTTGTATTACTTTACTATATACAGAATATTATTCAAAATAAAAAAAGTTTTTAAAATGTAACTTTATTATAATAAATAATACAAATTACTATTTTTAGTGGATTTGCAAATATTTGCGTAGCTGATAAATATCTCAGTTAGATCATACCTGATGAGTGGACGATGGAAGACGCCGCCACAGTTCCTTGCGTATATAGCACATGCTATTATGCTTTATATTTGAGAGGTAAAATGAAGAAAGGCGACAAAGTGTTAATTCATTCTGGTACGGGAGGCGTTGGTCAAGCAGCAATTCACCTTGCACTTTACGAAGGTTGCGAAGTGTTTACAACGGTTGGGAGTATCGAGAAACAACACTTTATAAGAGAAACATTTCCCTCTATTTCCGAGGATCATATCGGAAACTCTCGGGACACGAGTTTTGAACAAATGATTATCTAGAAGACGGAAGGTCGCGGAGTAGATATCGTATTGAATTCTTTAGCTAAAGAAGAACTGCAAGCATCCATCCGTTGCTTAGCAAAGGGAGGTCGTTTTCTCGAAATTGGAAAGTTTGATATGATTTCCAATAGTCCTTTAGAAATATTTGCATTCTCAAAAGGCATTAGTTTCCACAGCATAATATTGGATAATTCTTTTTATGCCAGACCAGAAGGTAAGATAATATTGTGGAATAAAATAATAGAAGGTATAAAAAAAAGGGCTATCAAACCGTTATGCAGAAGAGTCTTTGAAAAGGATGAAATAGAAACTGCGTTTAGATATATGGCTGCTGGAAAACATATTGGCAAAGTATGATCATTTTTTAGTATACCTACAATAGAGAGTAACTAAAATTGAAATACTAAATTCTCAAAAAAAAGCACAGTTTAAAGACGAACTTTTGGATGCGCCTATACTTGCACATCCCCGGTACTACTGCCTGGAACATAAATGCTACATCGTTTTAGGTGGTCTAGGTGGTTTTGGTCTAGAATTAATTAATTGGTTGATTTTACGTGGTGCAAAAAATCTTGTAGTGACCTCGCGAACTGGAATAAGGAACGGGTATCAGCGATCAAGAGTAACATTATGGCAATCTTACGGTGTAAATGTACAAATCGTTACAGCTATTGATACTTCGAGATATAAAGACTGCGAATCTATATTAAAATTTGCCGAAGAACAAGGTCCTGTGGATGTTATATTCAATCTCGCAGTTGTGTTGAAAGATGGCATATTCAAGAATCAGTCCCCACAAACATTCGAAGAATCTTTCGTGTCAAAGGCATGGACGACAAAAAAGATGGACGAATTATCGAGAACAATTTGCACTCAACTTCAACATTTTGTCGTTTTTTCTTCCGTTTCATGCGGAAGAGGTAACGCAGGCCAAACAAGTTACGGAATGGCAAATTCCGTAATGGAAAAAATTTGTGAAAGAAGAATGAAAGAAGGTTTACATAGTTTGGCTATACAGTGGGGCGCAATTGGTGAAGTTGGGCTTGTCGCAGATATGCAAGAAAATGACGAAGAACTTGTTATTGTAGGTACATTGCAACAAAGAATATCCTCTTGTTTAGACACATTAGAAATATTTTTACTACAAGATCGGCCAATCGTAAGTAGCATGGTTGTTGCTGAGAAAAAAAATTCTAGCCAAGCAATGAATCCACTTGAAGCGGTTGCAAATATTATGGGTGAGTTTATAAACAACTATAATATAAAAAGTTTGTGACAAAACATCTATAGGAAGTAACTTTTTATTCAATAATGTTATTAAAAATATATTATATTAATATAACAAAGTGCATTAAAGAATATACAAGAAATAATGTTTGATTAAAATTATATCAAAATATATAATTTTTAAAATAGGATTGAAAAATATGAACACAGTGGCGCCAAATATATTACTGGCTGCGCTAGGCATGGATTCAATGATGGCAGTAGAAATTAAACAGACATTGGAGAGAGAATTTGATATTTTATTGACAGAACAAGATGTTCAAAATCTCAGTTTTGCTGCACTTAGAAAAATGACAAATGCAACCGAGAAAGAAAAGACGTACGATGCTACTGAAGTTGCTACAAATAATTTGGACGGTTTCGAAATATTGACACGAAAACTTAAGGATTCTGATTTGAGTCCAGATATTTATGTAGAACTCGATACAAAAAGGGAAGTTGCTGAAAACATAATATTCCTTATACCAGGGATCGACGGATCTGCAAGCATATATAAACTTATAGAATCGAATATTAAATCTTCGGCGATATGTATGCAACACGGTGCACTTAATATGCCGGATTTTACTTGTTCAATAATGGAATCAGCAGCATATCTTCTGCCTGTACGAAATTATAACATAATCTATTTGAAATCGTTACTTAAATTGCTGTGTATTTAAACAACAATATTTGATTATACACACGCTCTCACGCTTTCTTTACATACTATCTTATATATGCTTATGTTTATTTTTTTAGTACATAATGGAGAAAATGGAAGATCAAAAAGAATTTGTAATAGTGGGTTATTCATTTGGATCCTTAATTGCTATTGAGTTAGCAAGATTATTAGAAGCTAAGAATTTCGTTGGACGGTTATTACTTATAGATGGAGCTCCTGACTGGATGAAATTTTTGATTGAATTTCATAATTATACTTCACCACAAGAACTACAAAATGACATCCTACTTCGTTTCATGAAAACGTATCTCGAATCTGACAATGAAATGGTTAGTCAATTATTAAAACCACATTATGATTTCTTACTACAAAAATGGTTTACGTAATTGTGTTCATATACAGTTAATATATATGAAAAAATATAGAAAATTATTTATTTAAATATTTAAATATGGTTCTGAAAGCCTTATATGCATTTTTACATGATAAAATATCTTTTGCCACTTATTTATATATGTATGATACAGATTACAGAAGTAGTGAAAGACTCGTTTAAATGGTTTTCATTGAGTAAGAAAAAATGATAATAATGAGTATATAAGAATTATATAATATTTACAATAATTAAAATATAGTGTTTATTATTTGAACATATGTGTAAAATGAATATCAAATTAAAACAGTAATCCTTGATTACAAATTATTGCTAATAATTAAAGGACAAAATAATTTGACTTACGTAGTTCAAAAATACAGAAAAAGTAATTAAATAATAAGAATACAGACATGTAGTATATCCGAAATGTGAAAATACAGTCTCAATTTTAAACGTAGATTATCATTTTATTATTATTTACATAAAATACAATATTTATGTTATTTACAGTCTGCATTAGAGCTGAATAAGTGCAGTACATGGGAGGAAAAATTAGAACTATTTACTGCTCACTTTTCGGAGAAGATCGATGTATTAAGTGTTGAAAATCAAAAATTCTTTTGTACAACAGTTTACGATCGTCTAATATCTGTACAAGATTATGATATATCTTTATTGCCACCTTTAAAATCATCTATAATACTGTTAAAACCCACACTTACGCCAATCACTTTTCCTGAGGAGGATTATGGTTTACATAAGGTAAACTTTTGATTAAAGAGTAACACATTTTATCATTTTTAAGATATTTTTTAAAAGAGAAATTACTTTTAGGTTACTGAAAGTGCAGTGAAAATACATTACGTACAAGGTTCTCATATCACAATGATGGACAAAATAGCACCATTTATTAACGAAGAATTCTAAAATGAATAACTTTATATAAGTTTAAAATAACTTTATATAATAAATAACTTTATTTAATATCAAATATATATAAATCTAATTTTTATTTTGTCAAATACTTTTAAGTATTCACATTTTTACATTAAAAATATTATTGTAAGTAATGTACATACACAAATATGTACTACATACGCCGTCGCTGGATTTCTCTACCATTGCGCTGCGCATGCGCGAGAAAGCATCCCCGAGAACAACACTGCCCTTAGAACATATATAAATGAAAGGGGAATAGCAGGCTGAAAAGTGTTGGAAGGAAGTGAGAAAGAAATCGTAGTTGCCTCTCTCTTGGGAGTAACTACACATACAAGCATCGTGTCTGTAGTATACATACTTTTGTAGACACACATGGCCGTGCATGCGCACTTTTGAGCAGAGTTACTCACAAGAGAGAGGCAACTATGATTTTCTTTCTTACTTCCTTCCGACATGTTTTTCTATCGGGAAACAAAGGCATTCCCCTTCCATTTATATATGTTCTAAGACACTGCCTCGCGGCCCTTTTATATAACTAATCCAGGGCTGTCGTTCCTTGAGTAGAAAAGAGTCCTAGGGTCTAATACTAGGGAAACTTATTTTCCCCACCGATATCTTACAGTTCGGCCATGCTGGCATTTCATTCGACTCGAATATGCGCGTAATACAAATAATCACAGCAAGTTACAATATCACAATTTGAAAGTTAAATTTCAACGCTATAGAATCACAAAATTTCGCAGCCTAATATAAACATAAACAATCTTATACTAATCTTAATTGTCATCTACCGATCCTTTCCAAGGCTTTAATTTATCCGGCGAAAGTATAGATGAGTTATACGCCTTTGACGTGTGGTTAAAACCGGGTACATCCTGTACTACATATCGATTATTATTCAGGACTTTCGCTATTACATAAGGTCCTTTATAATTGGTTTTAAGTTTTTTGCTTTGTCCGGTTTTCGCCTGTAAGTCTCGGATTACTACAAAATCGCCTTGATTATAAGCAGTAGGTAATCTATGTTTCTTATCATAGTATATTCTATTGTAATTTCTTATTTTTTCGGACGCTTCGATTGCAATATCTCTCGCAGTTTGTCGTTCTACTTCAATATTTTTTTCTATGTTTGTTAATTGGTCAATCAAATCTTTAAGCGCTGCGTTTGTATGATTACGCTGATCGTAACCTAGTAAAAGTTTGCTCGGTGACGCTTTGATTGATTTGTGTATCGTGTTGTTTAAAACATATTGTATAGTACTTGCATGTGATTTTCATGCATGAGGGTTATCTACTAACTTTTGAAGAGATGATTTCAAAAATCTGTTTACTCTTTCAGCTCAACCATTAGCCCATGGCGCTGCTACTGCAACCTTACGATGCTTAACTTTGAGGAATTTAATCAGGTAAGTGAAATCGTTCGCGGTAAATGCTGTGCCTCTATCAGAAACAATTTCCTTTGGTGTGCCACAGATATTAAATAAAATTTGTAAAAATGTGAATACTTAAAAGTATTTGACAAAATAAAAATTAGATCTATATATATTTGTTTATATGAGTATGCTGTGTGTCCGGTAATAACTGTATCACGGGTATCACTGTACAGCGGATTAAACCGAGTAGGGAAGTTTTCTACCATTTTGCCATAATTAATGAAAAATTAATTTCAAAAAATTGACTAATCCGTGCGAGTATAAGTACGCGGCGAAAAACAATATTCCACTATTACGCGGTTGCTAGACGCGATACATAATTAAATTTGATTATTAATTAATTATTGATTGCTGGATTAATAATATCAGTGTGTTTTATCGCACAGAAATTATTAGGAAAATCACATAATGCAAGGGAACTTTTCTATTCGGTTTAATTTGTTCTACTTATACAAAAGTGCTGGTGATACAGTATACAATTATGCTTATACGCATCAATATATGTATGATTATGCTTTTATACATATTCAAGATCTAAAAGAAAATAAATCCAGGAAACAGGAAGAAAAATTTATTACTAGCTTACCACGTCCAAAATAATTATTTCACAATTATGTTTGAAATTAAAAGCAGACAATTCTAGCAAAAATAGAATTCTATAAAACTGACTAATGATGACTGCAAACTTATACTAGAGAGAAGAACATGATATCTTACACTATCTTGTGAATAAGAGATACATAAATACATTCTATAAATATATTCTACATACAGTTCTTGCTATTTCTCAATGGACTAAATTGTTTTGTGAAGCTGCATGTATTACATGAATAATCCTGCACACATAAGAGCATACACGAATTATTTTGTATAAAAACATATGCACTAATGATTTATTTATAATAAATAAATAATCAGTGCATATGCTCTTATGCAAAATAACTATGCTCTTATGTGTGCAGGATTAGTTATATAATACATGCAGCTCTTTATAAAGTAACTTATTTCGTTGAAAAACGGCAAGAATTGTATGTACATAGATTACATTTACAGAATATAATGTTTTAATTTTAATATACATAGATATGATTCAAAATTATTAATCTAATTTAAATATTACAGCAAATTTGCTAATATAAAAAAATGTCTATTAAGAATGGGATATAATGGCAATAAGAGCCCAGCGTAGTATTAGGGGCGCATAAAAATTTATTGTAAAAACAACTCAATGTAACATAAATAAGCGTAGAGCCATCATCAGCGCATAGATTAAAATTAAAATTAATTGGAAGATAGACCATATTCTATGTCGATTAGCCGCAAAATGTCAAAAATCGTACAACGGATATCTCTCACATCGTCATGATATATTCAAACGCATCACTGCTGTTGATAGGATGGCCAACTCCTCGATTACTGGCTAAAAAGTCCAATCAATATTTATTAACTTTCGATCTTATACTCACACGAATTGGTCGATCCTTTTTAATTAATTTCTCAATAATTATTATGAAAATCGTAAAATGGTAAAGGACTTTTCTATTCAGTTTACTATGCTCTACCCGCTCACGAGCCTCGGCACGATCTTCCGATAATTTTTGACCCACCCAAAGTGTGAAGATAGATTGGCTCAAACTGAATCGAAAAGTCCTGAACCATTTTTTTTTTATAACGCTTAATAAAGGAGTTATTATTGAGTAAAGTCTAGCCAATCAGCGCCAACATTTAGCTAGGAACACGTCGGTGAGCCGCGCGCCGTGAAGTGTGCGCCGCCGCATACTACCAGGCGTGCGACTCACCGACGTGCGCCCGG